CTTTATTTACTCTAAGCCAAACAATGAATATTTTTCACCTGTAAAAAAAAACCACCAACCTTAAATGATGTTCCGGTAATAAACATTTTAGTTTTCAGATGCTGCAGTCATTTCCTTTTCTGTTTTCATTAGTTTTAAGAAAATACGGCTCACTTCCATGGTTTAATATCAGCTTTATATTTCTAACAGAATAATCCCAAGAGAGATTAAATGGGTGTTCATTTGGTTTTTAGTAGTTATTCTATAAAAACAGACAAGGAAGTAAATGAAGAGTTCTTTACACAAGTTTATAAATCAAATTATCCGTCAAGTAATAAACACTAAACAGAAAACCTTATGAAAATAGAAAAGTTAAAATTATAAATGTTAAAAAAATAAACAGTTTACAGCAATTTTTCATTTGTTACAGACATCCAGCCATGAAAGTTTTACTTTTTTTGGTTCACATTATWTAAACCATTTAAGACGCTTGTCTTACAGACAAATCTTCAAAATTATATTTTGTCAAAACAGCTTTTTAGAAGAATGTTGTCTCTTTATATAGTTATTTATTTTGTAATCATTTGTCTCTTTATATAAATTTAAAAAGAATCTAATTAAGTTACAAGAAAAAGGAAAGAACTCCAAAAAGCTGTCCTTGTGTACCATTATGCAAATGAATGTATTTGCTATCAAGAAACAACTTTTTCATTTTTGGAATTGAGATTGGTGATGTTTTTCTATTTATTTATTTATTTATTTATTTTTACTGAACATGTTCATACACTAAACTCAAGGTTAATATACTCAAAATTGATTAAATTAATTGTGATTAGCTTCTTTGAAACTTTGAGGTTTTTCCCACTTTTATTTAATTTAAATCAAAGTTTTGTGGACAAACTCAGTTTGTTATCGCTCTTTTCTGGAGTAGCACACACCACAAAAAGAAAAAAAACGTGCTTATTTAAAGTAATTTACATGGCAATCTTCAGTTCAGGCTCTAAAACCCTCTGTTGAAACCAGGTAGTGTTTCATGAGTTCATTTCTTCTACAGGGCAGTCTTTTCTTGTTGTTGTTGTGCAACAGAAAGTTTATGGAGTTGTACTGCAAATCCCTCCCTGTCCTGATAAAATCCTTCAGGATTTATTTCTGTAATACTTCCAGTGTCAAGTCTTCTGGCAAAGCCCAAAAGATTTTTCAGTCATTAGGTATGGTCTAGTCTCTACTTTGTGTTGGAGAGTTTGAGGTTGATGTAAGGATTACACAGTCAAAGGAAGTGAAAACAAGTGTTTGTTTCACAATCTGACAAACTCATTATAGTATGCATGTAATTCTGATAAGATGTTCAGTGTTTGGATGTTTCCTGTCACTGCAGTTTATTGTGTTCCATCTGATCCAGGTTTATGTAACAACCATTCATCTGTCTCCTTGCATTTCTCCCAATTGGCTCCTCCATTTCACCGTCTTGTTCATTTGCTCGTATTATCTCATTATAGCAGTCAGTCAGTCAGTCGGTCTCTCCTGGACCAGCAGTCCACACCATTAGACACTGACTCCATCACTGCCATCCTCTGGAACACTCGCAGCCCTTTCTCTGCCTGTCAGTCATGATTCTGGAAGTCGTGCAAGAGTATTTTAAGTGTCCTTAACAGTTCTGCTTGGTGCTGTGTGTGTGTCTGTGCGTTCGTATTAATGCTATCAGAAGGCGTGACCAGAGTTCATTTCAGCCACAAACTTCCCCCTAACTGTCGAGACACAACAGAGTCTATAGAAACTCACAAACCAATTAGTTTCATAACGTTACTCAATTTTTTTTATTAAATAATAGTACTTTTTTTTTGTTTAGTTGTGTGTCATGCATACTTCTTTCATTCATTAACTAGTAAGGAGTCCCTGAAAAAGACCAAAATGGACAGGATTCGAAAAGAGTACACAAAGACAGCTCAGGCTGAGGAGTGTGGGAAAAGCTGAGACAGTTTGGACATGTGCAGAGGAGGGACAGTGCATAGATTGGACAAAGGGTATCAAATATGAAGCTGAGAGGAGGAAAAAATGGAACGGCAGCAGTTTGGTGTGACAGAGGAGGATGCTGGGACAGGGTGAGGCGGAGGCAGATGATCCCAGTGAGCAGCCGAAAGAGAAAGGAGAAGCAGCAAACAGTCGAGTCTGCTCAGACTGCTGATGCTTTAGGTTCTCTTGGACAGTGGGGAAAGCTCAAAGTGTGTGTGTGGAGGGGAGGTTTGTGGAAGACAACAGGTGGCAGATTGTATTTTTATGCACCTTTATTTTGAAAATGACAGTGAGTGTTTTCTTGCCTGAGTCGGGACCTGCACTGGTCCTGCTGTGGTCTCCCCAGGACAGAGAGGATGGATGTGCTTGTCAACACTGATAGGCAGAGCCGTGTCAAGCTGACAGCAGTAGCAACATCCACACTGAGTGAGTGTGTGTGTGTGTGT